TTTTTTTTTTTTTTTTTTTTCGAAACGATAGACGTTTCTTTCCCTTAACAATTATTTTTTTCTTTTCATTTTTCTTTTCAATAAATCAATAGCTTTTTTTTGCTTTTATAAATGATTATTTTGGACTCTTATTTGTTTATGAATATGGTTAAAAAGGATAATTTAGTAGTATTTTATTGACATGCCCATATATCTATCTATATAAAATAAGAATAAGGTTAAATTATTTTCAGAAATAGTTTCCCGCCAAAAATCATTAATTACAAACTAAAAAAGGTAAATTTTATATTCTTTTAAGTGTTTTCAAATAAAAAGAAAGAAACATTAAATGTTATTACCATGATTTCGGTTGTTGTTTATCATACCATATTCTCAGTTTTTGTTGTAAAAAAAAATAAAAAAAAATTCTAGGATTCTGTTTTGTGTACATTTTTAATTTATTTAAAATCAAACCATTTTAATGATATGTTAATCTATTCTTTTATGGTAACAATTTTGTTGAGTGCTTTTTTTTTTCTTTTTAGATTTTTTTTTAAAATCACAAATTAAAAAAATGAAATCTCATTCTAAATTCTAGACAACACATATATTTTTATTTTTATTTTTTTTAAAAATAAAATTTAAAATTGCAATGAAATTGGACATGTTGTATTATCAATTTTATCTTTATATGTTTTTTTTTTTATAAAAATAAGGCAAAAAAGATATTCTCTAAAATAAAAAAATGTTCTCAATATTGGAATGAATTTAATATGAAAAATGAGAATGATTGAAAAAAAAAAACTCAAAATCCACACTTTAAGGTAACAACTTTTCTTATATTTCATATAAAATTAAACTTCACCCGAATAATCATATATTTAGTAGTTATTACAATATTGCACATTTTCACTATAATTTTATTTCGCGGTGTTAACATTCCGAAAATCAATAAATAATTAGAGGAATGAAGTGTATGCAATGTGGAGAGCATCTTGGTAAATATTCATCTACAGTTGTCAAGTGCAAAATTATTTTGCATGGAAAAACAAGGAGGATTTTAATAATGTATGACTTTCTCATGACGAGCATTTTATGATCACCTAACAAATGTTCTACGTATTGCATTATTAAACATATACTTGTACACAACATTATTTGTTTGGTCTTTTGGAATGTGTCTAACACATTGCATAGCTGAATATAACATAGATTGTAAAACGTCTTTATTGATAATCTATAGCCTTATTATTTTAAAAATGTAAATTACTTAACTTAAGGAAGGAAAAAATTGTATAAGTGTATGCAATCAATTTCAAATTTGTATTCTAGAAGATTAAACAAAATTCAAATTTTTATGATGATCCAGTCCGATTTTATTTTTGAATTTCAAATTAATATTATTCGACTCTGTTTTATGTTTAAGAAAATCTAAACTAAAGAAAGTCGTATCCAAATGATAAGGAATTTTTAAATTTTAATATTCAATTTGAAATTGGACCCGATTTCTATGCAATTCGATTTTTTTTTTTTTAATAAATATGATCTATTGCAATTAGGTAAAATACATGTTATAGTATTTTGTCTAATTCAATATTCTCGATTTTATGGTAAACCAATTTTTTTTAATAAAATGAGAGGATTTTGACTTTTACAAAATTGTCATCCCAAATTTGACCTCAATTAACTCGATTTCTACGCAATCCGATTTTGTTATTTTTTAATAAATATGATGTGTTGCAATTAAGAAAAAGATACATGTGATAGTAATTTGCTTAATTCAAAATTCTCGATTTTATGGTAATCAGTTTTTTTAATAAAAAATGTGAAAGAATTTTGACTTTTGCAAAATTGCATGCATCCGTCGAAATTTACCTAAGTTAAATCCACAAACCCATGAATTTAAGATGCATATATAGCAGATCGATTTTTTGAGAATAACAAAAAGAAAATTAAGAAACTACCAAAAATATAATAAAATAAATGCTGGTTGACTTCTTGGTTAATATTTTTGGTAAATATGTTCTCTTTATATATATATATATATATATATATATATATATTATTTTAATTACCTTAATTCTTAGTATATAAAGCCATACTTAATATTATTAATGATGAAACAAAATAGAGAAACGTCTATTTAAAATAAATAGGGGTTAACTCAAGTGATAAACAATTTGATGTCGCGTAAGTAAGGTCTCGGGTTCGAGTCCTTGTGAATGCAGAAAACTCTTGTTGGGAGACTCAACCATTATTGTCAGGTGTGCGACCGGGTCGACCAACGGATTAGTCAGAGCAAAGCTCTGGATACCGTGGCTGGCTACCGAAAAAAACAGGGTGCTACAGTAACCACAGGTGCCTCTTTATAAATTCTTCTCTAGGGTAAACGATAAGGTACGCTAATGGCTCGAAGATTGCGTTCAACTTATCCCACGACCGATTCGACTGTTCGAAAAAATGGTGCGCGAGAACCCAATGCTGCGAAATAGTTGGAATTCAATTACCATATGATTTGATGCCATGACAACAACAAGGGACTACAACAACTACGATGATAATGTGCTGATAAAAATACGATATTACACGTCCGAATGCGTCACAATGCAAAAATTACGACAAAGTTGAAAAAAAAAAAAAAAAGAAAAATCAGTTTTTTGTATGCTGAACTGAAGTTGTATTATTTACACCTATACATAAATTTTATACCAAAATGTTAATCAATTAAAAAAAGTCAAACATGAAACATAAAATAAATCATAACACTGCTCAAACCTATATTCGTGTTTGCAATTATCAACATGCTACTAAAATAAAATAAAACGAAACAGGAAAAAACCTAAAAATACAAACATCACCCAAACCTATATCCATGTGTGCAATTATTATTATTTTTTTTTTTTACAAAGAAGGAGGCTAATGCCTTAAGCTACGATATTACGAGGATAAGTTACCCCGAGAACATCATGTTCTAGTCACGGTTTCACCCTCGTGGGAGGGTCGTCCAGTATATGAAGACCGCCCGGCATGGTCGATGCTAAGAATGCAAGGTAATCTGCCGCAAAATTTACTTTCCCGGTGAATATATCGAATCTCCGGGATCCAATCTCTTCCCAAAAGTTCCTTAATCCCCTTGATAATACTGCGATGAATTCCAGAGTGCTCGCCATTATGTACCACCAAATCAACAACGTTCATGTTGTCCACTTCCGCCACCACCATGCGGTAACCCAACCTCCAAGCCAAAGCTAGGCCTTGAAGAAGACCTCATAATTCTGCACCCAAGATCGAGCAAAAACCCGATATTCATTGCAAAATCGGCCACCCACCTACCATCTTCATCCCGAAGAAGACCTCCGGTCGAGGCCATTCCGGTTTGCCGATTGAAAGCACCGTCCGAATTCAATTTAATGAAACCCGCCGCAGGCTTAGTCCACGAAAGCCAACGGAGTACTCTGCATGGCACCACAGCACCTAGGCTCTTAGCAAAAAGGGATGCCGACAAAAACCCATCGACTTGCCTATCGATTGATAACACGCGTCTCAGAATATTTAGTCCGATTTTCTCGAAAATATGTGAATTTCTTCCGCGCCAGATATTCCATATGTGTGCAATTATCAACTTGTACATAAAATGAAACAAACTGAAATATAAAAAGAAAACCACATGTTAATCAAATAAATTAACATAAAAAAGTCAAACATCACCCAAAGCAGCGCTTCATGTGTGCGCGATTATGAAAACAAGGGATGTAGTGAGAAATATTTTATATCATAGCTGCTAGAACTGATTTGTTCGGGAGTACAACTCAGTTCGACTCACAAAAAGTCAATCTTGATTCATTCATATAGTAAAACATAGAATGAAAATTTTATTTAAACGAGCGGAACTTAATTGACTACACTCGCTTTATTGAATGATCTGAATCAAACTTGCTAATTTATTATACGAGCACAAGTTCGAACACAACTTATTCAACTCAATTTTACTTTAGTAATATAACCAGTGTTATGTGTAAAAATTCAAAGTATGATATTTTCTTAAATGTTTAATGTAAATTACAAAACGAATGAAAAACAAACTATTAAAAATATGTCATGTTGTTTTTAGTAAATTAAAAACACTTTATGTTATTTTTTAGGCATATTCTATCTATCTATCTATCTATACATATACAGATATAAAAGTTTGTATTTACTTAAAATATAAGATAAAATCCCGCTTAAAAATTTTAATATTACTAAATTTGGTAATTTAAAAAAATAAAAGAATTCAAAAAAATCCCACCTCTAGAAATTAATCATTTATAGTATAAAGTTGGTAAAATTAACAAATCCGGTTTGATATAAAGTGGCCGATATCATTTGAGGTATCTGATGGTCATTTTTTAAGTTTTGGTGAGAAATGTGTTGTTATAATAGATGTCTGATTATATGGTATAAAGTGGGTGATTTTATTTGTGTATGAAATGTCTTAATTTAAATGGTATTAAATTTATTTAGTATGGATATAAGTGTATTTAGAAATTTTGAAAAAAAAAAAGTGGTATGAACTTTATTTGGTATTGGTATGAAAGTCAAATTTTAGCATAATCTTATAATAACTTGCCATAAGATATTGGTGATAATTCAAAAAAGTGGTATGTATTCCTCCTGAAATCAGAAAGATCTTCGAATAAATATTAATTAATGGAATTTAAAATTTATGATTTAATTTTAGAAAATAGTTTATAAATTTGAAAGATAAGATAACCGACAAAAATTCAAGAAAATTGCGAGATAATATGTATATGTGTGTATGAAAGGTATAAAGGAATTTATTGTGTAGTCTAAATTTGGGTCCAAATTCAAAAGAATTAATTATTTATAACATATGTATCAATATTAACTTGGACGTAAATGGAATAGTCAATTATTTATAGTTTAATAAATTACCCAACTACTTAATTTTCTTATGTAGATAGTTTATACAAAAATAAATTTATTTTAATTAATAAAACAATATAAGTTTTATAAGTATACTTAATATTTACATAGATTTTTAAATATATGATAAATTATTACCAAGATATTTATTTTATGAAATTACATTGTAGCAAATCAAATTTCTGAATAAAAGGTTTAAAATGACAGTTATTTTGAAATGAATATAATATAATTTATTATCAGTTAATGTATGTTGTGTGTTAATTTTAAATAGACATGTTTTATGTAATTTTTCACAATTTAAATTTCATATAACATTCTCAATAAATTAATATATGTAAATTATATTACATATTGATTCTATATTTTTAATTTATAAATATTAATACATATATCTTACCCGTGCATCGCACAAATTCGTACTAGTTTAAATATTATGTTTGTGGAGAAAAAAAAAAAAATAATAACAACTAGGTCCATATAAACATGTCTGATTAAGAAATGTATGTCCTTTGTCCTTTTCAGCATACGGAATGCTATTTGAGTCAAAAATTGCTCAATTAGCTCTCTCTCTCACTCCTTTGTCCTTTTATATAATTTTTCACAATTTAAATTTCATTTTTTTTTACATGAACTTTTCGTTTCTGAATCCACACGGAAACCGACTAATCCAAAATCGAGTCGGGTAGGACCACAAGGGCGGCAAAACTCTCCCTCAAGAGTTTTTAATACATTATAAATTATATTATATATTGATTTTATATTTTTAATTTATTATAAATATTAATACATATATCTTACCTCTCTATAAATCTCAGTATCTCACACACTCGCTGAATTTCATCTTCAGTAAACAATAAATATCATCTGTTAAATGCTGAATTACAAGAAGAGGAAGAAGAGGAGGGAATGATTATAATTTTAAAAAAATAAATATATATAAAGAAAAAGTTGGTAGTTTGGCTGTGTGTGTGGCGATGGGGAAGAAGGCACAAGCCTCTTCGAAGCTGTTGGTGCGCCGAGTGTTGCGCCTTGGGTGGAAGCTGGTGGTTTTCTGGTCCGTCGCTCTCTGCGTGCTGTCGTTTATCAGAACCCAGCTGTATTTTCAGTCGCCGGAATCTTCTTATTCCCCGACGCATCTGTCGAGAAGAACCCGCGTTCTGAGCTCGCAGTATAGCGGCGATCCTAAGATAGCGTTCTTGTTTCTGGTGCGGAGGAGTTTGCCCCTCGATTTCATTTGGGAGAGCTTTTTCCAGGTGGGTTCAATTTTTTATTGCCCAGGTTTGACGAGGAATTTGAATTGAGAGTTGCTGTTTTCCAGTTTGCTTGTATTATCAGTCTTCGATTAGAATTTTGTTCTGCACAAGCACTTTGAGACTGAATTTTTTGAAGCATGTTCATTTTTATGCTGAAATGATAATTTTGCTCTGTGGGTTGTACGTTTAAATGTTCTGAGTTATCTCTGTTTGCTTGTTGCAGAATGTGGACAGGTCCAAATTTTCGATATATATACACGCTGAGCCCGGGATTGCGTTTGATGAATCTATTACGAGCTATGCTTTATTTTTCAATCGACAACTGAGAAACAGCATTGAGGTAATTACTAATTCCATCACATCCGTTGGTTGGTTATGAATTTGATACATGTGTGGGTTGAAGTTGAAAGAGGAAGACTGCAAACATCTTCCTGAATATTATGGATTAATTCGGCATATGATAATCATATTTGGAGAGAAAGCTTGAGAAATTATGGGAGTGTAGTTTCTTTCGGTTTCGTGTTTGTCAGTAAGGTAGAAATATTGGATTTCTCTTTAATCACTTTCAGAATGTGAGCCGGATTCCGATTATTTAGTGCTGATGATTTTAGATTAATTCTTAATATTGAGGTGATGTGTGTAGGTAGCTTGGGGAGAAGCAAGCATGATTGGAGCTGAGAGGTTACTATTTGAAGAAGCCCTTCAGGATCCTGCAAATCAAAGATTTGTTCTCTTATCTGACAGGTTTTTTTTTTTTTTTCGTTAATGCCGGAAAAAACATGATGAGTAAATCAAATGGTGTTTATCATGCTTACTGATTTTCTGTTGTGGGTACTACAAATGAAAAAATTTGACAAATACTTGTCCTGTAGAATCTAAATGCAGACATGGATAAATAAAAATTAGCATCATATGGATGCTGTCGAGCTTTTTTTTTTTTTTCTAAAAAAACTGAATATCAGCACCCCTAATTGACAGCTGCCTTGTGTTCAGTTCATTTATGTTTACTTCTTTATATTCTAAGTTACCCCTTCGATCATCGAAGTTCTTTGCTTCTAAGATCCGAGTCCGAGATAGCTCAGGTTGATAGTTTTCTTACACTATTTTTCATCTCAACAGCTGTGTCCCTTTGTACAACTTCAGTTATATTTACAAGTATCTGATGGATTCTCCGAGAAGTTTTGTGGACAGGTAGGTAATCAGAAAGTTCCGAATGTGCCAAATCGCTTTTTCATTTATGTTGGCAGCTTTTGTAGTAGATAGCCTATGAAGCATTTTGAAGCATTATATGTACAAAATGATAGATTGTGAATATTTTTTTTCGCAGTTTTCAAGATAAAAATGATGTTCGCTACAATCCCAAGATGTCACCAGTTATACCCAGGAACAAATGGCGGAAAGGATCACAGGTAATATTTTTGATATCTTGAATTTTTCTTTTTGGTGGTTATGATGTTGTTTGCAGTAACCTAATTTCTACTTAATATTTGAACTGTTGGAACATATTTTAACGTAACGATTTACATCGTTTTACTATTCCAGTGGGTCACCTTAATCAGAAGACACGCGGAGGTAGTTGTTGATGATGAAATTGTTTTTCCAATCTTCAGAAAGTTCTGCGGGGTAAGTTTTATTTTTAAATGTAAATTCACCTAGCAGCTATTATTTTGATGGTTATTCGATCCATTTTTATAAGGCTGCAACTTATGATGTTCTGTTTCTGCAGATGCATCCAGCAGTTGATCCGGAGAATCTTGTAAGTTAGCTCTTCTGCCAGCTCGGAAATTCTGAATACCATTTCCCAATTATTGAGCCGACTATTTCCAATTATGATGTACTCCCAACCATGTTTCATGAGTGTTTTTTTTGGAGTAATATTGGCTAATAGTGCACATATGAATTGGGTGCAGAAACAGCATGACTGTTTTCCCGATGAACATTATGTGCAGACCTTACTTCCAGTAAGAATACGTTAGATTTTTCTATAATTTCTTACGAACAAATAGCTAATTATTGTGGTCTGCTTTGTCCCGTTCGTATGTTTTCTTGGTGGTTGTTTTTAGATGAATGGCCTTGAGGCTGAGCTTGAAAGAAGAACAGTTACATACACTTTATGGAACACTGTGTCTTTCCACCCTTTTACATTTAGCTATGCAAATTCAGGGCCCGAACAGATAAAAAGAATAAAGGTAGATGATTTACTTCACTTGCTCTACTCTTGCATTATTAGTGATCTGCTTACTTTTAATTTACTTCTAAGGCATAATTACACATAGACCTAATTAATCTTATAATTATGTACGTATAGCATTGCTCTTATAATTACCCACAGTTGGTGTTTATGTAATCATTCGTTTATTTGGTTTCTGTTTGTTACTTTGGCTGCTTTGTAACTTAAGGTTATGAATCTGCAGAACATAAACCACGTAAGCTATGAAACAGAGTTCAGAATCGAATGGTGCAGTAATAATTCCACGTTCGTTCGATGTTTTCTGTTCGCGAGGAAATTTTCTCGAGCAGCAGCCAAGCACCTTCTAAGTCAAGGGGTAGTAGGTAACATTTGACGCCTCTACATTCATGTAGCCACCGACACGAATTTTAGCAAGGGGTATATTCGTCAGTCTACTCACAACAGGAAAATATGATTTAGCAGAGATGACTTACAGTGGTAGTTTTGCATATGATTTTACAAACAACCATCTGTCAGATGGCTGTTAAAGCGTAGGTTAGTGAAAATAGTTCGAAGAGAACATTCTTTGTAACTGTTGTTCATCTACAAATATATAGCCATAGAAATACCTTCAAAATACGAGTAGCTTTACGCCATCACGTGAACATAAATTTGTTGACATTAAAAACTTTAAACCGAGTGCCTGCATTTTAACCGGAGCGCCAAAAATCCAACATTAGATTCATAGTAAAATGCAGGTGAGCAAGTTTTTGTTTGCTGGTCAAGTACAGATAAACATTTACCATTATAAGAAATCTAACATCTGGATTTAAGACTTAAAAACAACCAAGACATTATTATTTTAAACAAAAAGTTGATCAATATAAAATTTACATTTGATATCGATCGAGCCAAAGAAAGACGAGATACAATTTATGCAGATGATAGGAAGAGCAACCTTGACAGGTTCTATACAAAGCACATGGATGTTCTTTTATACAAGAACTCTTGTTCTTCACTCAGTAAAAGAATACACATTTGGACATGCCGGATTCCTCTTTTCGTTTCCTTTTTTTCTACCCACCTTGTAGATTACCACTATTTACGTGACTTGCAAACCAACCACACCAAAAAAGTCGCATTCCAATTTATACAGGAATCACTTCTTCATTTTGATTTTCGTTACACGTCAAAATAAGACCCTCGACGTATGTGGGGAGAAGGCAACAGGGCAAACGGCACCCAGTCGAGATGGGCTCAGTGGGTGGCACAACCATGAGGACATTATCATGCCGCCTAACCACACCCATTACACTCACAGTACTTCCTTCTTTTATATAGCTGCAACACAAATATTACACAGGTCATTATTTTCTTTACAAAAAAGAAGATCATGATTTTAGGCTGGGTTTGAATTTTGATAAAGAAACTGAAAATTACAGACACGTTCAGTGTGCGAGTTGAAAATTGAAAAATATAACCCAAGCTATATCTAATATAATCCAGAAAATGAAAAATACAATTTCCACAAAGAATAGGGGTTAATTAGAGGTCTTGGGCAGATAAAAATAAAAATAAAATCTTAAAAGTACTCTCACCCTTCTTTAAGCCGCATTACATGGTCGTCACCCGATAAGCCTCGATCAGAAAGCCAGCGTAGAAAGTTTGGAGAAGGGTTTATGTGATCCTTTGAGACATCAACAACAACAGTTGACTCGACAAATGGGGCAACCTTGGCACCATAGCCCGCCTTCACTAGAGCTCTCAAACCAGACTGAAAGTCTGATATGTAAAAATCTGCAGCATACTTCTGTAGGTGGAAGGAAAGAGACGCAAAGAGTTATTAAAACGGAACAGAACAGCTAGCGAATGACTTGGATTAGTTTCATTTTGAAAATGCAATCTTGTGACCCGGAACATTATTAGAATTGAAATCGACAAAGTTCTTTGGTTATGTCTATTCAAAAGGCACCAAGAGGAACATGTGCATTTAGTAGTATGATAAGTTGGGGCCTTATCCAATTAAGATGCAATGAGGATAAACTGGCCCAACCATTAAACTAGTGGGCATATCGACTGCTATGAAAAGAACCAATTTTTTGCTAGTGTCCTGTACCATCAGCAAGATTTCGAGTTCTTCAAACATACAGATGATAATTAGTTTTAAAACTGCTACAGATGATAATTAGTTTTAAAACTGCTTATATATTTATTTTCACTTAATTCTTGCACGTAGGAAATGAAATGTAATTCCTTTAACAGCAAATTTTTAGGGGTTTTAATTCATTCGTTATAAGGGAACTTCATATTCTGAAAATGTGTTAGTAGAGATATACATGGTGGTCACCTACATTAGCAGGTTTCAAGAAATAGAATTGTGCTCGGATCTCACATTAACATTTAAAATTCTGCAAGGGAAATTTGAATTAAGACATAAAATGCACTCACAGCAATAACAGCCTAACATCCCCAACAAACCCACTAAAAGGAAATCAGTAAAGATATAAAATTCATGAAATAGCCGTAAGCTGGATAAAAATTGTTAATGGTATCAAATAGTTAGTTAATTTCGCTTCTCTGTTTTTTTGTTTTTTTTTTTCATTCAAATGCAATTAACGGTTTACAGTCCCATTTAGCTACTATTTAACTCAACGGTTACACAATAAGCAAAACAAGCTGACCTCTGAATGTGTGCATCCCCAAGAGAAGAATCTTTGTTTAGCATTTGATGGTTTTCCACCACAGCCCCTGTATTCATAAAGTTCTGTGGAAACATACACACATCTTGGTATTCTCTGGAAAGAGGTTTCAAGCGGTATGCTGCCACAGGTGACGACCTTTACAAACAATGCAACAAATGATAAGTATAATAATTTGAGATAAATACAATAATTTGAGATAAATAGTAGTTACCATCAACAACATCAACATCATACCCAGTATATTCCCAACTGGTTGGGGTCTAGGGGGTCAGTTGTACACAGACCTTACCCTTGTAAATAGTAGTTACCATCATTTATGCTTTTCCCTATTTTTCCTCAACCTTACCAGCAACTTAATATGTGTAAAGTGGAAAAGGAAAACTGACAAAAAATTATCAATCGTGTAGCAAATACAACAACAACAACATAGCCTTTTTGTCCCAAGCGAGTTGGAGTAGGTTAGAATGAAACCCAAGAAAACCAATGGTAAGAGAAACACAAAAAGGGCTCAAAACAAAAGGAAGAGATTGGAGCAAAAGTCACGGTTCTGACACGTTGATTGATAGCCTCCAAGCGCTCCTATCCACCGCTAAATCCTTGGAGATATTCCAATCTTTAAGGCCTCTCTTAATCGACTCTTCCCAAGTGAGTTTACGCCGACCTCTATATCTCTTTACATCATCGACCCACTGTAGAATTCCTCTACGCACCGGTGCATCAGGAAGCCTCCGTTGGACATGTCCGAACCACCTCAGCCGATGTTGAACCAATTTCTCCTCAATCGGAGCCACCCCGACCATATCTCCAACATCCTCATTTCGAATTCTATCCCTTCTTGTGTGTCCGCAAAACCAACGCAACATACGCATCTCTGCTACACTTAGTTGTTGGACATGTTGCCTTTTTATAGGCCAACATTCAGCACCGTATAGCATCACCGGGCGAATCGCCGTCCTATAGAACTTACCTTTTAGTCTTTGTGGCACCTTCTTATCACAAAGAACGCCCGAAGCTTGACGCAATTTCAACCAACCGGCTGCAATTCTATGCCTAACATCTTCATCAATGTCGCCATCCTTTTGTAGCATCGATCCTAAGTACCGGAAAGTCTCCTTCTTGGCCACCACTTGCCCGTCAAGGCTAATATCACCATCATCATGTGTAGCCATGTTGAAAGCGCATGTCATGTACTCGATCTTCGTCCTACTAAGTCTGAAGCATTTCGACTCTAACGTGTCCTTCCAAAGCTCTAAATTCCTATTTACCCCTGTCCTACTCTCGCCAACTAGCAAATAGCACCACCAAAATGAAACACTAGAGAAAGACTAAAAAAGAGGTATCGGACGAGGATGTGTGTGGATGCAGAAAATGCACAGAAGTTACCAAATACCCTTATAAAAAGTTTAATCTTAGCATAGATCCAAAAAATGAATGAAAGAAACCAATCAACTGGGACAACTTGCCCACAGCTATTTTCCATTTTTCAGCTGGCTATTGTGCAGCACAAGGTCAACCCCACTTTTGCTGCTGACACTGCAGTTCTCTTATGGCCAACATAATAGCCAAAGTATTGCCTAGGGGCAACTACAACCCATACAGTTTAAAGTTGGTCAATAGTTTATTGTAAAGCAACAATGGTCCACAAGAAAAATAAGTGCAAAAGAAGTAAGATGTCCTAAGTCCTAAGTGTGCCAAAACCAAATTGTTGAGTATGAGTAGCTTACTAAATTCAGATACTCCTGTTGCCACCAGATTAAAATCTAAAATTAGTAGATTACAATGCCCGGGGTTCGAACAGCTAGTCTAAAATGATCTACTCCAAGCAAGTTCCACAAGTTTCTAGTTTGTACAGATCATGGTTGTGAACTCACAAGGAGGCAGGGCCGAAGGGATAATCTATCAGAAATTATAATAATCACTTATCTGTCGGTTACAATGAATTACGGTTATGCTGTGCTAAATCACAAGTAACCTCAGAAATTCATCTAGTAAAGAATTTGCCCAGTCTTCTTCCAGAACCACAAGTATATATATCAAGAAAAACAATTATCCTCAAGATATGCTAGCTAATAATACAAGTCATATGGTCCCAGAAAGAAAAACAAAAAACAAAAGGAAAAATAAAAAGAAACGAAAATAAAAGGAGCTCCAACTACCATAAATAGCATGCAGCCTAACCACGATCCTACCCACCGAAAGAAAATGAATCCGAAACTGAGTAATTAAATGCTTAAAAAGTACTGTACCAAATCACTAAATAATATATTAAACAGTAGCCATTGTTTAAAACAAATACTGGAAAACACGAGCTTGTAGGAGTTGTAATTACCCCCGTGACCTTGACGAACTGCCCGTCAATGGCGCCCCTCAGCTCAGCATCAGGATAATTTTTCAAGAAACCCCGAATGCCTCGTTTTTTATACGCGTAGTTCCATAGTAGAATCACTACAGCAGGGACTAACACCGCCACAACCGCCACCAAGACCACTGGCTTCTTCACCGCCGCCATGAGAAACGCACCCACCACCACCCCCATCACCACCACCACCAAAAACACCCACATTGCCACCCTCGAAACCCTAAACCCTAGTTTCACCTCCTCACCCAGGCTCGTAACAGCCGAGCCGTAGGTAGCCTTGTTGAATGAGCTGGGAGCGGACGGCGCTTCCAGCTGACCGGACCTCCGATTCGAGCTGGTCGACAGCGGTCCCGAGGTAATGAGGCCGGTTGGCTGAATCGGCGTCATCGGGCCGGAAAAGGAAGAGGAGGATGACTTCTTGCTCATCGGCCCGGAGTTCGTGGTCCTCGGGCCCATCTGGCCGGAATTCGATCCGGATCTGACAGATCCGCTGTTGTGCAGAGACGCCGACGGCGGTCGGGACGGCAGCTTAGGCGGACCTACAGTCGGCGGGTGGTGGTGGTCCCCTCCGGATACGTCGACTCCGTACATTCTGCCGAGCTCTCCTGACTTCTTGATGTCGCCGCCGGTGTACGGGACGGCGCGTGAGGCCATTACAGGCTGCCGCTCCTTCGGCTGCTGCTCGGGACGGCCCGATACCATGAGGCCGTTGCTCAGCTGGTGCGAGCCGGTTCTGGTGCTCATTTTGTTGGTATTGAAGCCTTGGGCGGCGGCAATGGAGGTTGATTGTGTGCACTGGTGAGAAAAGGAATAAGCTTTTTTCAGTGGGGTGTGTGTGTGTGTGTGTGTGTGTCACAGTGTGTAGTACATGGGGGACGGTGACCTTAATGGCGGGGGTGGGGGCTAGTAAATGACTGAAAAGGGCCTGATATCTCGAAAGACGTTTTTGCCCTTTGTGACTACTTATTGGGATCCCAGAGTTTGTTAATAGAGCCTTTTAGCTCAAGCAAGTTGGGGTAGAATATGGATGAAACCTAAGAAAACGCTCGTCAAGCTTATCACAATCTTTTTTTTTTACCAGAGCTTGAAACCTGCTATGTTGAGACAACATAAGCAGAGTTAGTTTCATTATTTATTATTTTTCTAATAAAGATAATAGTTTCATTATTGGATCAAGCAATTTTGAAAAAGTTTAATTGATTATAAGATGAAAATTTAAGGGTGTGATTGTATATGCTTTCAACAATAAATTTCACTCAAAAACTCAAATTTAACTCAACTTTAACTAAATTTCACTATCTTCAATATTTATCAATATAATTAGATAATATCAACCAATCATTATTACACATCACATCAACTTTAATTCACTATTCATCACTCGCATAATTTTAACTAACCATCACTTCCAATCATTTTCTTATACTTTTACATCAAATTAACTTTAATTATTTTAATTTAAATATTATTTTAATATATCCACTAACAACTAACCATACTACTTTTTTTCAAACTTAACTATAGTTAAAAAAAACTAGTTTTTACTAGTTGAATTCATATTCAATCATCCCCTAATGTCCCATATTCATATGATTTAATATTAATAAAAATAATTAGTATTAATTTAAATATGAGAGTCGATAAGTACTACAAAAATGATAGTAAATGCTATATTTTGCAGTAAATAGTGTACTAATTATCAAATTTCTTATGGAATTATATTATTAACGTTTATGTAAGAAAAAAAAAAAAGATAAATGAATAATTAGTTTTTGTTACTAATAGTGTATCTTTGTTTGTACATTTGTGCGCTTTTAATTTATAATAGTTCCCTTGTTGTTTTAAAAAAAAAAAAAAATCCCTTCTTATTTTGAATGATTACCCATTTAATTCTAATCATGATGACGAGTGTGTTTGATTAATCTATATATATTCAACTTTTTAACTTTTTTTCTGGTCATCATTTGTTTAGCAACAAGTCATTTTAATTATCTACGAACTTATAACTTACAAAATAGTTGGCTCAATAGGGGGGAGAACATTCTATATACAACAAGTAAACCATACTATATTTTTTGATTAATTAAAGGCAAAATTGCGCCTAATATCACCACATTTATCGAAATTGCAAATTAATCACGACTTTTGGACTTTGGCGCACAATATCATGATCTTCAATTTTTGGCAATACGGTACATGAAATTCCTCATCTCCAAAAAAAAAATCGACGTGGCTTAAATTTGCCACCGTGGAGGCTTAGCTGGCGGTCCACCTCGGAGCAATACGATGTCGTTTTAATTCTTTTTATCCACGTCAGATCAAAACGACGTCGTTTCGATATCCTAGCAATACTGAAGTCATTAAACCCTAATTCCCTAATTCAGAAAAATGCATAAAAAATAAGAAATATTCAGAAAAACCTAATAAGCCATAACCCTAAACCCTAATTCCCTAATTCCATAATCAATCAACTTCATGGTTTCCAAATTCAGAAAAATTAAACCTAATAAGACATTAAACCCTAATTCCCAATTTAAACAATCTACAGGCTTAAATAAATTACCATGGATACATGTAAACTAGGCTTACCAATCGATTTTTGCACCTGTAGAACCTCCTACCCGAATTTCGATCGGTATTAGAGGTCAGCAATTCGGCCTCACCATGGATACGTGTAAATTGTGATGTTGTACTCCTAGATGAGCTGGATTTGGTTGACATTTTGCCTACTCCTTCTTCTCCGATGATGAAAACCCAGCCCCAAAATTTTTTTCCTGCAGATTGAAGAAGGGTTCATCGACTGATTTGGGGATTTAATCAGCAATTTACCACTCAAAACGGCGTCGTTCGATCTGAGGTGGAAAAAAATACTCATATATCGAAACGACGTCGTTTTGATCTGACATGGATAAAAAGAATTAAAACGACGTCGTATTGCTCCGAGGTGGACCGCCAGCTAAGCCTCCACGATGGAAAATTTAAGCCACGTCGATTTTTTTTAGGGAGCTGAGGAATTTTATGTACCGTATTGCCAAAAATTGAAGATCATGATATTGTGCGCCAAAGTCCAAAAGTCGTGATTAATTTGCAATTTCGATAAAGGTGGTGATATTAGGCGCAATTTTGCATTAATTAAATAAAACTAATAATTTTATTAATTTTACTTGTTGTATATAGAAGGTTGGCTCCACTATAGAGCCAAATGTTGACTTTATAGCAAAACCGGTACACTCTATGCTTGTATTTTAATTTTTGAGACATCATCAATTTATCTATAATTCTCTATTCTTACTACTTTTTGGTTGATTTTTTTTTTTTTTTTTTGGTTTTTTAATTTGGTATGCGTATATGTGGTAAGAAACGGGAGAAAAAATAGATGCGATTTCACGCAAGTGAAGTGCACCATAAGCAAGAAAAACCAGATGAAGACCAAGTGAGGTTCTATTCCCATAGCAGTTTGCTGAAGGATGGATAGCCTTTATTAGACTTATACATTAGGTCTATTTTATTTATATAAACGATATGAGACAACTCATAAGTGAATATTCTAATCTCTCGTGAGTCCTTTTTAAGAAAGGTCAAGCTCAAATACAGAGTCGGGTGCCCAAGACCAACTAGAGACGGACTGGGTAAACAGGTACGTCATCGCATGGTCCCACATTCATATAAGAAACGGGGGAAAACGGGTGCGTTCCTACGCAGGTAAAGTGCACCAACAAAAAAAACCCAGTTGTAATTTTTGAATAAATGTGCATATTTTAAATGAAAATCTATATTCTACAATCAATATAAATAAAAAGAATGATATTTTATTACATAAATATATACATTTTTTTGTAATAGAAATACGAATTAAAACAATTAATGTTATATTCTTATTTTAAAAAATAATATAAGTGTCGGCGACTATGAATTTAGGTATCTACAATGATGGCCACAGTATAGGAGTGGGAGCGACCGAGCGACATGACCTAAGGTTCGCTAAGAACAAAATTCACATTAAATGTTCTTTGTTGGATTTCATTATGAAAATACTGAACTGCCCATCCCAAAATTATATAAACTAGTACAACACTCGTGTATTACACGGGTGCTTGTTAAAAAATTATTCTTAAATTTTAAAATTAATGAGAAAACTATATTAAATTTAGTTTATTTTTTTTACAAAAAAAGTAATATATATTTTAGAATGATATGTGGTACTTATGACTTACATGAGATATATTATTATAGTTTTTATAATTTATATCATATAACTACTTGAAATATAAATATATTAGTTGATAAATAATTTTATTTTTTAATTAATATTAAAAATAATTTTATTATTGTTATAAATATAAATATAAATTATATTTTTAATACATACAATATGGATGTTAAATCGAAACTAATCAAAAGAAGATTAATTTGATATATTACATATGTAAAACTGATAAAAAATACAAAAGTTATTAACTTTTAATATACATATATACAATTCAATAAATATAATAAAGAATGATATTAAAATGCAATTAATACATGTAACATGACCATAAATAATCAACATATTTATGGTAATCCGAACCTAATTATTTTTGGTTTGGAATTAAATTAAAATTTACCCAAGCCTAATAACGAAGCATGTAATTTTGCCACATAAGATTCTGAAACACCAGAAGCAGCCACGTAGGCTCAACGCGTTCTGCATTAATATATAGGGGGATTGTGACATGAAATGTGAAGGGATTGAAACAGAAAAACTTACACTACGGAAATTCAACTATCTAAAATGTTGGCGGGCTTACAAAATAGAAAAATAATTTACTAAAGATTGGTGAGTTCGGAAGATGCGATTACCTCGGCACCTCGACCAAAGGATTCCGCTGAGAGGACCAGGGTGTGGAGGTAGTTCCGTAATCAACTCATGAAAAGGTTGGCAATGTGAACGAGTATGAAAATTCAGAGATGTTTGACCTAATTAAGATATAGATACGAAAAAGACTTCTTGTCCAACAAGAAGTCTTCGACCTATGCGTAACCTCAACTATAAAAATGGCACATGTTCACTCTTTTTACACAACACATATATACGCGCGAATTTACTTTCTCGACATATTTCTACTGAACGTTGGGCTAGCTTGAGCGCCGAAGTGTTTTCCGTCGGGACCCCTCCCGATGTTTTGCAGGTTATCGGAGACACGAAGGCAACAGAAAGCGGTTCAAATTCGGTCGAGGTAAAATTTGCATATAATATATATATTTTTTTTTAAGTATGATGAGATTATTTGGCTAAGACCGTCTTACAATAATTATTGTGAGTAATTAAGATTAAATTCTTAAAATTTGCAAAATTTATGCACAATAGTTTCAAGTACTACAACCCAAAATTTGATAATAATGTTGCTGTTAGACATGTCCATTAATTAAACAATTGTGCATAATATCATGACCTTTATCGAGATTGCAAATTAATCACAACCTTTTAACTTTTGCATAATATATCTCGTCCTTCAATTCTTTGCAAAACAATACATCTGCTGCCCCAACTCGTCTGACGTGACACTCAAATGCCAACGCACCTGCTGATGTGTATTTAACAAACGATTTATTTTGCATAATTAATCACAACCTTTTTAACTTTTGCATAATATATCACGCCCTTTTTAACTTTTGCATAATATATCACGCTCTTCATTTCTTTGCAAAACGATACATGATTTGACAGATGGTTTTTTTTTTCATCTCATCCCTGGACGAGA